TCTCTACTAGTTTCAGAGGATTAGTGTCATTTTTCTATTGTCCCTAAGGAAGTTCCTGAGAAAACTATTGTCAATATGAATTGTCAGACTTTAGATCGCTATTTTTAAAAGGCAATGCATTATGTTTAATGTACTCAAATTTCCGTTATCACCGGTAAACAAAATCTCAAGACCGGTGGCTCACGCCTGTCATTCTAGCTACTCAGGAGGCTGAGATCTGAGGATCTCAATTCAAAGCCAGCCCAGGCAGGAAAGTCCAGGAGACTCTTATCTCCAATGAACCACCAGAAACTGGAAGTGGCACTGTGGCTCAAGTGGTAGAGCGCTCACCTTGAGCTGAAGAGCTCAGGGACAGCGCCCAGGCCCAGGGTTCAAGACCCATGACTGACAAAAAGAAAAAAGGAAAAAAACTCTCTCAAGACCAAACCACCATTAAATTGAAGAATAGAGCTGGGTACTGGTGGCTCACGCCTGTAATCCTAGCTACTTGGGAAGATAAGATATGAGGATCATAGTTCTAATTGAGCCCAAGCAGTAAAGTCCTGGGGACTTATCTCCAATTAGCCAACAAAATGCACAAAGTGGAGCTGTGCCCTAAGTTAAGTGAAAAAATTAAAGAACAGGGACCATATATCCTAAGTTCAAGCCTAGTACTGGAAAAATTTTAAAGAAAAATAGAAAATTAAAGCATAATGTTGCTAAAGCTCTCTAAGTCAGATGAAGAGTTTACCAAGAAATAAACTATTCCCCTAAGCAGGTTAACACTTGGTAGAGGTAGAGTGCAATGATATAAAAAGTTAGAATCTTAGTTATTAAAACTAAAAATCCCTTTGTATGACTCTTTAAAGCAATATATATATATATATATATATATATATATATATATATATAAAAGCAACACATATATGTGTATATGTAAAGGCAACTAAATTGTACAACTCTTTGAAATAATTTATATAAAGTAACACATGGAAAAATATATAAAAATATATTTATAAAGTTTTATATATAATCCATATATATGAATATGTATGGTAAACAGGAAAATCAAAGGAAATGTATTCATTACCTGACTAATGAAATGGTAACCTCTCTGTCCAACACCATAAAAATAGCAATAAAATTATATTTTCTTTAAGAAGAAAAGGCAAGCGTAACTGGAGACTGATATTTTAGGGCCAGGCTTTCCTATAGTTTTGTCAACAAAACACACAGCATACTCACTGATTAGCTAACCTGAAGTTTGAGACTGGGGTCTCATTTGATAAGCAAGAGAACATTAGTACATTCTAAGGCAATCCTTATCATTTCAGAGTGTCCTCCACAAAGTAGAAGATAGCAAATGGTATAGCCACATCCAGTTGTTTAAACCTCACAACCACCACAAACCCTAGGAGCCCAGTGGTATACTGAAATCCAAAGCTGATGGCGAAATCCAGGGTTTTCCACTCTGAATCACAAGTTCACAAAATCTTTCTCTTCCCAAAATAGATCAATTGCACACAATCTTTTTGAGGCACATCAGCAAAAGGATTTAATTTTGGTAAAAAAAAAAAAAAAATAAGAAACTTGGGTAGACATACAAAATGAAAGTAGGCTTTCAATGATAACCAATTCGGAGGGAAAAAAAGAGGTCCTGCCTGAGTATGATAAAGCCAGGAAAATCCTGCAGTTAATCCTAAAACTATGTGTGTGAAACTCTATGTGACTAAAGTAATAATAGTTACAATCTTGCTTCTTTAAAAGTATCACTTAAGATATTGTATCTACTGCTGCTTGCTACTTTTTCTGATTTAAAAACAAAACAAAAAAAAAACCCTGCCAGGCCCAGATGGCTCCTGCCTGTCATCCTAACTACTCAGGAGGCTGAGATCTGAAGATCATGGTTCAAAGCCAGCCCGGGCAGTCCGTGAGACTCTTTATTCCAATAAATCACCAGAAAACCAGAAGTGGCACTGTGGCTCAAGTGCTAGCCTTGAGCTGAAGTACTGAGGGACAGCACCCAGACCCAGAGTATAAACTCCATGACCGACAAAAACAAAACAAAACAAAACCAAAAAACCACACACACTTATCATGAGAACTATATAGGAGACTCTCAAGAAATTGCTGAAGGAATTTAACACAGCTAAGAATAAATATCCTAGCCTGGCCCTGATGGCTCATGCCTGTCATCCTAACTTCTTAGCAGATTGAGATCTGAGGATTGTGGTTCAAAAAGCCAGCCTGGAAAGAAAACTTGGTGAGACACTTATTTCTACTCAACTACCAAAATGGCCAAGTGGTAGAGTGCCAGTACCGGCACAAAGAAAAGAAAATGTCTTTTGGCTACTTTTGTGTACAGCTGTAGTGTGTGGCTACGGGTGTGGGTGTGTCTCTGTGTGTGTGTGTGTGTGTGTGTGTGTCTGTGTGTCTGTGTCTGTGTACAAGGGCTTGAACTCAGAGCCTGGGCACTGTCCCTTAGCTTTTTTGCTCCAGGGTGGTTAGGCTACCACATCCACTTCTAGCCTCTTGCTGGCTAACTGAAGACAAAAGTCTCATGAACTTTCTTGCTCGGGCTAGCTTCAAATCACAATCCTCAGCTCTCAGCCTTCTGAGTAGCTAGGATTGCAGGTGTGAGCTACCAGTGGCAGGCTTGTTCTCTACTTCTAATTGTAAAATGATTATAGAGCTGCAGCGTTTGCAAACAGCTCTAGGAGACCCTTGATGTGCCATTTCCTCTGTGTGTCCAATGGCCACATCTTCCCGAACCGGGAAGCTGAAACTGGCCAATCCACAAAACCTATTCAGATTCATCAGCCAGAGCTACTTTCTAAGTGCACAATTACTTTCTGTTTCTAGCCCTTAGATTCTCTTCACTTTTATGGTGAGAAACGGAGAGGCCGAAGGGCAATGCGATCAAGACTGTTCAAAAGGGGCTGGGAATGGATGTGGCTTAGTGGTGGAGCGCTTGCCTCGTAAACATGAAGCCCTGGTTCAACTCCTCAGCACCCCAGACACAGAAAAGGCCCGAAGTGGCGCTGTGGTTCAAGTGGTAGAGTGCTAGCCTTGAGCGAAAGAAGCTCAGGGACAGCGCCCACGCCCTGAGTTCAAACCCCAGGACTGGCAAAAAAAAAATAAAAGAATGTTCAAAAGTAGCTGAGTGCCAGTGGCTCATGGAGGCTGAGATCTGAGGATCGCGGTTCAAAACCAGCCTAGGGAAGGAGACTCTGTGAGACTCTTATCACCAATAAATTACTTTAAAAAGCCAGAAGTGGTCCTGTAGCTCAAGGGGTAGAGCACTAGCTTTGAGCACAAAGAGGCTCAGGAACAGCACCCAGGCCTAGAGTTAAGCCCCACAACTAACAAAATAATAATAATAATAATAATGTTCAAAGGTAGCAAAAATGAAAGTGCGGTAGATCTTTTTATTTAGCCACAGCACACACATCTGCATTCGAGTCATTGCATAAGGAATTCAGTTCAAACCTTCAAAATATTCCTATTTTCCAAGCTATTTCATGAGATAGATGACTATTTTCATCTTTCCAGAATCCCCAAAGCTTTCCTCACTAGAAAATTTACCTCTACTGGTCTATTGAAAAGTCGTTTAAAAAACATTCTTTTCTGCAACTGTACTATAATGAATTAACCTTACAGGAAAACTAGGTTGGGTTTTTTACAACTGGAAGCAACCAGTGACTTTGCCCTTTTCATCTAGAGCAAAGCTCAATTTATGGTACAAATCAGGCTCATTAAATACCAGATAGATGCATGCATGGATGGAAGAAGGGTGGATGGATGATGGATGATAGACAAATGGATGGATGGACGAATGGATGGATGGATGGATGGAATAATGGATAGATGGGTGAATGGATGGATAGATGGATGGATCAATGGGTGAATGGATGGATGGATGGGTAGATGATGGATGAATGGATGCATGCATGCATGAACAAATTAAGTAACCAAATATACCAAACCTTTCAAATGTCTTGAAAACAACAAAACCTGTTTTCTAGTAATCTGATATTTCTGTGAAGAAAATTCTGATTTTTGGGGAGCTTTCACAAAATCAGAGGAAGGGCCCTAAAGGACATCTAGCCTGGCAATTCTCATCCTGGCTATGTGTTAGAATGTTCTACAACATTTTTTTTAATACCATGTCCTTATCTCATGTATGAGGTAAGGCCTAGGCATTTGCATTTTTATTTAAGCCCCTAGATGGCTGATCAAAGAAGTCTAGTCAATCTGAATGTCTTAGTCAAGAAAACACAGCCAGTCAGAAACAGTCATGAAACGAAAATCTAAACAGGAATTATACTATTTTTCAATCAAGACATATAGGGGAAATAAGGAAAAAAATATGAAATGTACTTTAACTGTTTAAATATTTTAATTATTTGGTTAGTTACTTTTCAAATATGAAACTAGCTGGACACTGGTGGCTCACACCTACTAGCCCAGCTACACAAGAGGCTGAGATCCAAAGGCTCAAGATCCAAGGCTAGCCCAGTGGAAAAAGAAAAGAATAAAAGTCTGAGACCTCATCACCAAAATAACCAGAAAAAAAAAAAAAAAACTGGGCTGGAGACCCAGTTGACATAGATCAAGTTTACAGCTCAAGGCCTAGCTGATCAAGCAACCACGCACAGGAATAAAAACAATGTGAAAATAGGCAAACATTAAAAAAAAAAAAATCTCCTAACATTTGAGTTCTTTCTGGTATATGGTCATTATCATTCTGGGCATGATCTACACACCTGGCCATTGAGGTTTCTTTCTGGGATTTTGTTTTTCTTTAAAAAATGAAGTGGATGGTTGAGTGAATGGTGTATTCTTAGCAATGAGTGCTTTGCAGTACTCGCAGTTGGGATAGTAGCTGTCCATCAGATTAGCTCCATTTTTTTTCTTAACCAAAAGAGTTACCAGGTAAAATTGATACGACTCACTAGATACAGAGTGGTTCCATAATCCATAACAACAGTGCAATCAGGTAAGAGAAGCTCCCGGCTTACCTTTAATGGAATCGTTTTCGGCTCTCATGATGTCAATGAGGGAGTTCTCCAATGAGTGCATGTCAAATGTCCTGGGGCGATCCTAAACACACAAACAAACACAGGCTGCCTTTAGACCAGAGGATAATGGGGAGACAGAGATCACAAAACGGAGCAAATTCACCCCTCTTCAGAGAACTTTCTTTTTAGTAACATTTCCAAACCATCAGAATCCATTAGAGTGTTTTTGTGTTCTAGCAATAATTTCAACAAAAGCGTCACTGTTATTCATAAAGCAGAACCCATTAAAATGAATCTTACTGAAGAAATTAAATTAATATAAAGGAAGCTCTTTTTTTGTTAAATCTCCATTGATGAAGACTGCAATAGCACAGCAAAGCTTTCTAAGCTGATCACGTAATTGTCTAACAAACTGGCATATATATGCTAAGAGTCACTATGCTGTCTTGTAAGTCAAAATTTAAAAACAGTTCTCAAATGCCTGTTCAACTGATAAATGGTAAAATAGTCCACAATAAGTATCACTGGGAAACCATAAGAAGACCAAGTACATCCTTGATGAAGGATAATACATGCTTGGTTTATCCAAATATGACCAAAGCTGTTTTTGAATGCTAATGATATACCTTCTCTAAAGGAACATACAACATACAATAGAGATATCTGTATATCCATGTTTATAGCAGCAATATTTACAGGGTTGAAGCTATGGAATCGGCCTAGGGGCCCAATAGCCAATAAGTAAATAAATAAATAAAAAGTGGTGTGAATCTACAATGGTATTACCCAGCAATAAAGACCAACGAAACCAGGTCATCTGCAGGAAAATGGATGGAACTGGAGATCATTGTGTTGAGTGAGCTAAGTACCAGACAATCATGGTTTCAACTGGAAACAGGCTATAATTGCAGCTGCTTGGAAGTCTGAGATCTGAGGATCTCCAGCCTAAGTCAGGAAAGTCTGTGAGATTCTTATCTCCAATTAACCACCAAAAAGCTAGAAGTCGAGCTGTGTTGGCACTAGCTTTGAGACAAAAAGCTCAGGCCCTGAATTTTTGCCCCAGGCCCTTATGTATACGTGTGTGCAAGCACGTGCATACACACACACACACACACACACACACACATACACACGACTTCCTAATAAAATAAAACACAAGCAAAAAAAATCCGTTCCTAATGGTAGCCACTCTTCTAGTACGTTGTTGGGAGGTCACTATTCTACTTTCCTAGCTAACGTCTTCAACTTGTGGGCTGATAGAGTACATCACCCTGATAACCTTGCATTCTCATTTGACCTTTTGCAAAGCTTTGTACTGGTAGAAATACAGGCCACACCTCCTGACGCTACCTTCCCAAGAGGATGGGTTACGGGTCAGGCCTCACAGAGGGAGTGAATTTATGATAACACACTTTTGATCTTTGTAGCTGAGGAGAGGAGAGGAGGAGGAGGAGGCCCAAGAGCAGCAACACTTTGGATCCGATCCAACTTGAGAAGTCAAAAAAGAAAAACAAGGTGGTTTGCCCGTAGGGGAGAGAAGGCCCCAGGGGAGAAAGGGCTGAGCGGGACCGGCTTTTACTGTGGGCCACAGGTGCCCTAATCTGCCCCCAGAGTTCTACCATCCCTCCCACTGTGGCCGCCCCGTTCATCTGCAATTCAATCCGGTCCAGACAATCAGAAAGTTCTAAGTGCGTTTATAAAACGGAGAGAGTACTCTCACTTTGTACTTCAGGTCTGGCAGTGCCTTATGAAAGCATTTTCTTTGGGATAGTGAAATGAAACTGCGGCGGAACTCGAAGGCTAGAAGCGAATACAAAAATCATATTATAAACGGGCTCATCAGTGGCTCACGCCGGTTATCCCAGCTACGCGGGAGGCTGAGTGCTGAGGATTGAGGCTGGAGGCCAGCCCTGGTAGGATCAGCTTTGAGACTCCTTAGTTCCAGTTAACCACCAAAAAAAACCAAAAATGTTGAAATGGAGGTGAGTGAGCACAGTGCCCAGGTCCTGAGTTTAAGCTCAAGGACAGGTACATGCAGATGCATGTGTGCATGCACGCGCGCACACACACACACACACACACACACACACACACACACAAGTCATACTGTCTCACTCTGTAGAGGCTGGATTTGTCCTCCGTTCAAGTCCACAAATCAGATCTGTAAGCTGGGCCATCCACCATGTCCTTGTCAACACAGACCCGTCCTGGGAGCCAGTTGGTCCCTTGTGGTTCACTTGTCCTTTGGCTGAGAACCACCGAGGGCAGGAGCTATGTCTTAGATCAAGTTCCTAGTGTGTCTGCTTTAAACAGGCGATGGGCTGGGCCCACAGAGCCATGGCCTTTCCCGGGAGGACTACCCAGAAGCACCTGGAAGCGCCTGGAACACCATCTGTTTTTAAAATGTCACCATTTTCTAGGTGTCTGACAGGAAAGAGGTTAACACTGCCCCAGATTTTTACACCGCTGTTTCATAGAAAGCATGCAAATGTTTGCTCAAATCAATGCATGGTGAATTCTAGAAAGTCATTTTGAAACCTTTCAAGTATCTCCTGTCTCCTACTTCCGTGTCTCAGGGCCTGTTTATGTAGTTCTGCTTTCCTACTGGAGCTCAGTGTGTTTTCTTCTGCCAAACTAAATAACGAGGGGAGTGGAGGAGCGAGGAAAGAAGCCACGTTCTAGTCTTCTTCTTCACAGAATGGAACCAACGAGAACCCTTGTGGATTTCCACAGCTTATAGTCTGCCAATCCCTCAATGAAAAGAAAGAGGCTGAAAAGAAGCCTTTGACACAAAAATAGAACACAGCCAACTTTTGTTTGGTTTCTTTTAGAAGAGCTGTTTCTAGGAAGTCAAGAAGGCATAAAAAGCCCTGTGCCCATAGTTCAGGCCCGTGATTTAGCTACTCAGGAAGCTGAGATGTGAGAATCTCGGATCCTGCCTGGGCAGGAAAGTCTGTGAGACTCCTGTCCAATGAATCGCTGGCTTTTTAGCCAGAAGTGGAACTATGGCTCAAGTGGTAGAGTGCTAGGCTAGCTTTGAGTATAAAGGCTCTGGGACAGTACCCAGGACAAAAACAAAAATAGAAGAAGAAAAGGAGGAGGAGGAGGAGGAAGAGGAAGGAGGAGGAAGAAGAGGAGAAAGAGGAAGAGAAGGAGGTGGAGGGGGAGGGGAGGAGTAGGGGGAGGAGTAGGGGGAGGATGGGGGGGAGGAAGGGGGGCTTGAAAGGTTCAGAATGGGAAATCAGATTTTAGTGAACCACTTCCCAGCTTCCCATATCCCAAATATCTTGCCTAGAACATTTTGCTAAATTTAAACTTAAGACTGACTTCCAGACTGACTTCCAACTGGCAACATACATTAAAATTTAAATCCTAAATGCAATGCTGCAATGTCAATAATTTAATCCAGGTACCTTTGCTCATGCCTGTAATCCTAGCTACTCAAAAGGCTGAGCTTTGAGGATCGCAGTTCAAAGCCAGCCTGGGGCAGGAAAATCTGTGGGATTCTCATGCCACTAAAAACTACCACAAGAGCTGGAAGTGGTGCTGTGGCTCAAGTGGTAGAGTATTAGCCTTGAGCAAAAAGAAGGTCAGAGACAGTGCCCGGGCCCTGAGTTCAAGCCCCAGGACTGGCAAAAAAAAAAAAAAAAAAGATTTTGGTAATTTTTTGGATAGAAAAACAGCACTATCCTCTTTTTTTTACACTCAGACTATTCTTCCCTTGAATTTGTCACCGTTTCACTCTGTGGTCACAAGTAAGTAGCACTACACAACCCCTTGTCAATTAATACTGACCCTCAGAGGTACAGTGTTAAGGTCTCTTAAGTTCTACATGAATTCAGAAGGAATCAGCCAGGCGCTGGTAGCTGACATGTCATCCTAGCTATTCAGGAGGCTGAGACTTGAGGATCGAGGTTGGAAGTCAGCCAGGGCAGGAAAGTCCCCGTGAGACTCTTGTCTCCAATGAACCACTCAAAAACCAGAAGTGGCGCTGTGGCTCAGGTGGTAGAGTGCTAGCCTTGAACACAAAGAGGCTCAGGGACAGCACCCAGGCCCTGAGTTCAAGCCCCAGGCCTGGCAAAAATAAGAAAGAATCAGAGCCTCAACAGATTGCTGGTGATAATATTAAATGCAGGGTTAGACTTACTATTAACTGTATTTGTATACACTTAGCATAAAGTACATTTGTATAATATTTTCTTATGATGTTCATGTGAGATAGAGAGATAGTGTGTGTGTGTGTGTGTGTGTGTGTGTGTGTGTGTGTGTGTGTGTGTGTGTACTAGTACTGGGATTGAACTGAGGATCTTGTACTCTCCCTTAGCTTTTTCACTGAAGGATGGATGTTCTACCATTTGAGCTACACCTCCACTTCCAGCTTTAGTTGGTTACTTGGAGATAAGAGTCTCATGGACGTTTCTACCTAGGCTGGCTTTGAACTTTGATCCTCAGATCTCACCTTCCTGAGTAGCTAGGATTATATTGGTGTGAGCCAATGACGTCTAGCTCATATGACATTTTATCTCTTATGATGTTCTGCTAATTCAGAGTTCAAAAGCCACACATTTTGTCAAATAAACATTATGATCTCCGAGAAGGTCCAAAGTTTATAATTCTTTACTCCTTCTCTTATCTATCCTATTTTTAACACCTAATTTAAAAAGAAAAAAGTTCAATCCAGGCACCGATATGTCATCCTAGCTACTCCAGAAGGCTGAGATCTGAGAATCAAAGTTCAAAGCCAGCCCAGGTAGAAAAGTCCATGAGACTCTTATTTCCAAATAGGCATAAAATAAAAATTTTAAAAAAAAAAAAAGCTAGCGGGGCTGGGAAGGTGGCTCAGTGGTAGAGCGCTTGCCTTGCATGCATGAGACCCTGGGTTCGATTCCTCAGAACCACATAAGCAAAAAGAAAAAAGCCAGAAGTGGCGCTGTGGCTCAAGTGGTAGAGCGCTAGCCTTGAGCTGAAGAGCTGAGGGACAGCGCCCAGGCCCAGAGTTCGGGCCCCACGACTGGGCCAAAAAAAAAAAAAAAAAAAAAGCTAGAAGTAGAGCTGTGGCTCAAGTGGTAGAGTGCCAGCCTT